GTCAAACATCTGGAGCTGATGGTTGTAGCGGGTCCTGACGTTTACTTGCACCACAGGGAGGACACGGAGCGATACATTCTCGCTAACCTGAACATTGTGAGTAGCTGCTGTTGGACTTGCTGTCCCCCTCGGAGAGCTCACAGTGTCGCAGGCTGGAAAGGAGCCTGGCAGAGTCACTTCTGCTCCCATAGGGAAGCTTTACCCTTATACAAGGACCTAAAGGATAGAAGTGGGTGTTAGAGGCTTAGAGGTTGTAGCTTTGAAGCCTGTGTAGAAAATACAACGTTTGTTTCATTACTAATATTGATATATAGCTAATGTCAGATCCAGTAGCAGGAATTTTATCACCAGAGTCCTGAATCAGTCCCTGTTGACTCCAGGGGTGTTGAACCAGATCGACTAAATTAATCTTATGTTTTACACATCAACATTCTGTTTCTATTACAGATTTTTTCTAAATTTCCTCCTTTGCTCTCATTAAGAATTCTTTATCTTGTATGGGTAGCTCTAAAGTATTCAGCATTCATTTTCCTACCTCATGAAACTGTTTTTCATACAGATTTTTATCTCTGCTTCAAATGCTTCAAAATACTTGACAATTTTTTTAACACTTTTCATCAATTAACTTTTTTTTTTTTTTTTTTTTTTTTTTTTTTTTTTTTTACCAAGTAGTTTATTCTCAGACAACCCGTTTATGCCTTTATACCTGCTTTAATGATGTACTTTGTAGTGATTTTCTGATTGCCTCTTATGGTTACCAGGTGTAAACCTGTGTAAATGATTGCACCCCTGCTGTTAAGAGCTGCTAGTGTGAATCACCTAAGTGCCTTCTTTATTGAATCCCTTTTCTCCCTTACCAGGGAGCAGAGCTGCTGAGAGATGCTTCACTGGGTGCTCACTTTAGGGTCCACCTGATGCAAATGATTGTTTTGAGGGAACCAGAGGTAGGCAGAAAAGACTGTTCAAGTCTCATCCAAGAGTTACCAGCCTGAGGGGTTGGTAAAAGCTGTATGAAATGTGTAGACATGTGCCTTCACTCTAGATGGACATAAACATCACAACAAATATCACCTCCTCGCTCATCAGCGTCTGTGAATGGAGCAAGAAAGTCAATCCCCAGAATGACTCTGATCCCCAGCATGCTGATGTTGTCCTGTATGTGACCAGGTACTGGAGCTCCCCTGCCCTGGGGAAGTTGGATTAGGAAAGTGCAGATAAATTTGGTTGAAAGTCTAGACCTGACTTCATTAATTGCAGTGGTTCTTTGCTCTTCTCCCTGTGTCTGTCTCCATAACCTTAGGTTTGACCTGGAGTTACCTGATGGGAACAAGGAGCTACGTGGAGTGACCCATTTAGGTGGAGTCTGTTCCTCCTTCTGGAGCTGTGTTATTACCCAGGACACAGGTTTTGACCTGGGAGTCACCATTGCCCATGAGATTGGGCACAGGTCAGTGAGCAAAGCCCCAGGGCAGCAAAATAAGCCTGCTGTTTTATCCAAGAAAACCCACTTCACAATTTAAGGGTTCAGGAGAAAGAATAGAATCTCTTGGTGTTAAGGGTGGGCTTCTCACCGATTATTCAAAACATTTGGATTGAATTCTTTGAAGGCTCATTCTTTCTACAAAAAGAGAGATACTGGAAACCAAGTCTCCGGGCTTCTGCTTCTCAGGGCATATGTTTCTTCTCTTGCAGTCTTGGAATTCCCCATGATGGAGAGGGGAATCGCTGCAGTAGCAGCGGCTAC